GGTCAAAAATGTTATTCTCTTGGTTCGAGTTGAAAACACCTTGAGCTAATAGTTTATCATCTCTTCTTGACCTCGTTATCTCTATCAACACTAATTGAGAATCGTCTTTAATACATTTCACCTGGTTTAAATCCTAACTCTTCTTGTCTCTCAGGAGTTCTAGTTTTAAACATTTCTTTCTCCCTTTCTTGTGTCCCTAGATTTTGATACAATCCATCTAGAGTTCTCCCTCGAGATTTACTAGTAGCCTTCTTAGCTTCCCTCTTAGCTCTCTCGTATTCTTCAAATGCTTCTCCATCTTTTGCTTTTGGCAACTTTCTATAACACTCTCTTTTAATATAATAACTCTTTGTACCTCCTCATTCCACTGCCAGGATTTATGCCGTTGAGGTACTTGACCTTTAGACATACCTAACACTTCAATTGCTACTTTTTCAACAAAACCTCATATTTCCTTCCACATTAATTGTACTCAATTATTGTTCAATATGTTAAGTAACAGCAGAAGCTCCTTCTTTGTCGGCTATTAATTCTTTAGTCGATACTACAACAACAAAAAAATAAAAAACAAAAAAATTCAGTGTAATCCCACAAGTGAGGTATGAGGAAGGTAGTTTGTACACAACCTAACCCCACCTTATGAAGGTAGAGATATTTTTTCTGATAGACCCGGGGCTCAGGAAAAGCATAGTCACAATATTGTTAAAAAGAAATATAATAATGGATAAACCACGAAAAGAAAAAGGTAACACAAAGCACTACCAACAACAGCAAGAAACCTCACAATTCAACAACAACGCCATTCATATACCTTTTGGGTATGTTCGCAATGGAATTGACATGTGCACGCACAAGTTATGGAGCATGAGGTTATTAAAGAAACAAGTTAGGAACTTATAATCCCCCCTACACAAGGAAATATGAACATGGGAAGGAACATATAAATGTACTAGTTGTATAATCCACGATTGCTTGAACCACGAGAAGTCCTTCACCTTTGATCATTTCAAGAGAAAATATAAGTCTTCATATGTTAGTTATACTTTGTTAGGGGCTATGTCCATCCATATTCCTTAGAAAAGAATAGAAGAAGAGTTCTTATGACTCGACTAGATATCACATCCATGAAAGCACCTTTTTAAGTTCGACATTTATCTCCTTCAGTGGCTCTCTCATGATATTTTGGACCAACTCCTTTAACCTCAAGCGAAAATTCGATCGCTCAATCAAACAATGCGTCAATTGCCTCAATCCTTTTGAAATAGATTATATTGGTTTTAAATATCATGGATATCCTTTGCCCTCTAGGAAAGATCCTCATGTGATACTCCCCATTCGAGATCCCAGTTTATGAAAATTGGACCCTTAATCTTATCCTCGGCATTAGCATATTCAAGTAATTAGGTGATATCTACCGGGACAAGATCCAAAGATGCTTTCTTAAGGGTAAAAAGTATTAAGAAAAAATAACGACTTAAAGAAACTATTCACTTCCTAAAGAATACAAATGTTCGCAAATTAAGTAGGAGAGAAATGCCCTTTCCTTGAAATAGCATTGCTTATGCAACTAAAATTAGTGGAAACATAGGATAAAGTGGGGACGCAGGCGCTATGTGGACCACGACTGCGCAGTGCATTAGGGAAGCCGCGAGAAAGGTATTAGGGGTCTCAAAGGGTTACTCTGGTGGTCACAAGGGAGACTGGTGGTGGAATGGAGAGGTGCAAGGAAAAGTGAATACCAAGAAAGCAACGTATCTGAAGCTAGTGGAAAGTGTAGACGAGGAGGAGAAGAGGGAATATAGGGAGCATTATAAGTTGCCTAAGAAAGAGGCTAAGTTAGCAGTTACGGCGGCCAAGACTGCAACTTTTAGTCATTTGTATAAGGAACTCGAGGGCCGAGGTGGGGATAAGAGGTTGTTCAGGTTAGCCAAGGTGCGAGAAAGGAAGGCGCGTGACTTGGAACAAGTGAAGTGCATCAAGGAAGAAGAAGGTATAGTTTTGTTGGATGAGGGACTTATCCGTCGGAGATGGCAGACCTACTTCCATAGTCTCTTGAACGAGGAGGGGGACAAGAGCATTGTACTAGGTGATTTGGAACTCTCCGGGAGTCATTGTGACTTTGAGTAGTAGGCGGATTAGAGTTGATGAAGTTGAGGGGGCTATGCGTAAGATGAGTAGGGGCAAAGCGACCAGGCCGGATGAAATTCCGGTGGAGTTTTGGAAGAGTGTGGGCAAGGCAGGCTTGGAGTGGCTCACTAGGTCATTTAATGTCATTTTTAGAATGAAGAAGATGCCCGAAGAGTGGAGGTGGAGCACGATTGTTCCTGTATACAAAAACAAGGGTGATATCCACAATTGCTGAGTGTTGGCCAGTCAAGATTGCTCATGTCTAGAAAATGAAGGTAACAAAGATAAGGATGTTGAGATGGATATGCGGGCACACCAGGTTAGATAGGATCATAAATGAGGTTATTTGCGATAAGGTAGATGTGGCCCCTGTTGAGGACAAGATACAGGAAATGCGGGTTAGGTGGTTTGGTCATGTGAGGAGGAGGAGCACAGATGCCCCAGTAAGTAGGTGTGAGAGGTTGACATTGAGGGCCTACGGAGAGGTAGAGATAGGCCAAAGAAGAGATGGGGAGAGGTGATTAGGCAAGACATGGCGCAGCTTCAGCTGACCGAGGACATGACCCTTGATAGGAAGGTATGAGATTGAGGATAAGGGTAGTAGAGTAGGTAGTGTAGAGTGTTCATAATAGTAGTATTGGTATGCAGTCTCGCTTTCTGTTGGTAGTAGGTTTTTATGATTAACCGTTATTTTCTTTCATTGTTGATCACCTTACTGTCTTGTTGTTTTATTCTGCTTTTATATGGCTTTTTGGTACCGTCCCTTCTTGCCTATATTCTCATTAATGTGGTGCTTAATGAGAATTCCAAACTCAACAATGAGAACTAAACGTGAAGATTGCACTCGTTGAAGAATTTAACCCAACACCTTATGGCATGAGCTGACAAAAGCCATGCACCACCTGTATGTCCGCTTTATTGAAGATACCCCTCTCTTTCAAGAGGATATGCCACAAGTCAAGCCCTAGTGAGGTTCTTCACTTAGCATCGAATTAAAACACATGCTCCCAAGTTTATGCAGGCCCCATCAATTCCTTTGAGTATTATTCTAGCAAATGCACACCCCATGCAGGATACATAAGGGTCGTCTGGTAGGATGTATAAGAATAGAGTCGAATAAGGTGTATTGATAATGCAAGGATTAGTAATACACGAGCTTGTAATGTGCTTTGGTGTGGTGTATTAAAAATTAAAACGCGTTGCATAATTTTGAAAAAAATTATTTGTTTACAAAAACACCCTCCATATTTTGTAGCTTTAAGGCACTGTCAGGATAATTTTATCTCTAACCATGCTAATGTATGCATTAATAACCTTGGTATTGCTAATACTATAGTTTGCTATGTATTAGTGATACATAGGATAACACCAAATAGGTTGTATAACTAATACTTGCATTAGTAATACATAGGTTGAAAAAGTGTACCAAACAAGGGATTAATAATACCAAAAGCTAATGTATGCATTATTTTCTCTAACGCACCCTACCAAACGACCCCTTAATGTGTTAGCTACATCACTGCATGGGTTGATATGTACAACGCCTATTATACATCGTTTACGAGCTAGAACTATTGCGGTATCCAATCCACTCTCTCCCCTAGTTTTCATTTCTCATTGTTAGTGTCATCTAGCATAATGCTTTCGTCGTTGATGTTCTTTCTGATCTATATGCTCCATCAAAAATTCCCTCTGCCTCTACGTATCCAGCTCGAAAGTTTCCACTTTAGAATCAATACATTGCCGAACTTTTGAAGTTAAATTAGAGCATCAACTTGTTGCTTCACAGTAAAATTCAAATATCTAAACTATTTGAAAAATTAAGAGGTGAAGAACAGTATTGTCAAAGATGCACTTAAAGCGGGCTTAAGCCTTGAAGCGAGGCGCAAAACGTGTTGAACGCTTTGCCTCGCTTAGCGGATGCTTCAATGCCATCATCAAGGCTCTAGGGCATACTTTTCCTTGCTATGAGTGTCATCCTGAGGAGGCGATACTAAACAATTGAAATTTCACTTTATTGCAATTTTTCAATTTCTTTGTCCATATATTTTTTATTCATGCTTATAATTATTGATCTTGGACTACACATACATAATCGTATTTTTTTTCCTTTTGCATCTTGCTTCACAAAGCCACGTTTTATTTGCGCTTTTTGCTTAAAGCTCCAATGGAGCTTAGAACTTTTATCCGTTTTTCGCCTTTGTTAACACTAGTGAAGAACTAATACCGAAGAAAGATAACTTTAAACTTTTAGTGGATACACAATGACATGAATTTTAGATAAGTGAGAGTCAACTCCTTAGACCACCAAAGGCCTATGGACAGGATGACACGAAGAATGAATAGAGAAAGGATCTACAAGAGCAAGGGAAAGAAAAAAAAAATTAAAGACCAGTTGAAGTAGACTTGATAGCAAAGGGTCAAAAGGGACTCTTGAAATTCTTCTAATTTCCTTCCAACCTAAGATGTGTTTCCTAAGCAGCTATTGATCATGATCCTCAAATATTTGGCAGGCTTATGAATGTTCAAGGTGGTCCCTGATATTCATGTCATAATAGAAAGGCCTCGTGATAGGCGCAAACTGCTTACCGCCGCTATAATCACAAGCAAAAAAAACTCTCAGATATTAACAGCAAAACAGTACCGACTTAACCCTAAGTAAATTAATGCAAAGCGTGTCTGTGTCAGCAATTATGGCTAGGTGTCATCCTAGAGATCCACCACGTATCATTGTAATGCTTCCCGAATTTCTAGGGTTGCAGACTTAATAGTATATGATAGTATAATAATCGAGTGCAGCAGCTTCAGGATAAGTACAAATAAAAGAGGAAACATGTTGTTAATGAGAAGGAAGATCTAATGATATGAAGAACCTGTTAGTGCTGGAGAAATCGTAGAGTCTGCCATGGTTGGAGAAGACGACAACAGCGACATCGACATCGCAAAGAATGGAGAGTTGTTTGGCTTTCTTTAGGAGTCCTTTCCTCCGTTTTGAAAACGTCACTTGTCTGCTGTTCTTGTCTTTGATTGGCTTTATTTCCACCTTCTTCCGCCCCATTCCTTAATCAACCAAGCCAAGCCAAGCCCCAAATTGGAAATATTTTGGGGGAAATATTTGGTTTCTATGTATCACTATCATCGTATCTAGGGGTTTTTATCACTATTCACAGAAAAAAACATGTTTCACTGTTCTCCCCCACCCAACCACTCTCTCCAAGGTCACGCAGTAAATGGCAAATTTATTAAACTGTCGAGATATATTCACACTTTTGGACTTATATATATATATATATATGAAGGCACCAAAAACCTGCCCAATTATGCAAATTCGTGGCTGCAGGACTGACTGACACTGCTGCGTTGGTCGCGTACTCGTACTCGTACTCGCGTAATTTCAGCTGATTGGCTGGAAATGGGAATTAGGAAGAAGATAGAAATACTTCCCTAAATTACAATTTAACTTTGGAATCATTCAATTACCGGGTGATAGCACCTTTGACTCGCTTTTTTTACTTTCTATTGAAAATCATTTACGTATATAACTCAACTTTGCTTTAAAAATTTTAAAAAATTAGACCCCCTACAATTTTGTACAATAGATATTTCCCTATTATATCTTAATTGACTTTTTAAATATTTTATTTATCCTGTATATTATCAGTTTTTTATTTTTATTTTTTAATATTATGGTTTTTTAAATCTATATTAGGAACTTATCTATAAAATAAATAAATACCTATTTTTGGAATAAAAAAGAGAAAATAATAATAATGAAATATATAATTTAAGATATGTAATAATGAAATAAATGTAAATATAATTTACTCGTATCAGTAATTAATTTATTAATAGCAATTAAAATTCAAAAATCTATTTGCTCCACTTAGAATAAAAAAGACAGAGAAATTTTGTAAGTGAATATTTAATGCTCTTAATACAAAAAAATAGTTACGAGTACTAAAAGTAGAGGTAGATTTTTAATAAATTCTTAAAGAATTATTATTTATACTTTAAATAAATTTTAAATTTTAATTCAGAAAACATTTCATTAGTGATAAGTTATTAGGTGAGGATCTGTTAGATTTCAGAGAATCCTTGAGCTGAAGAACCCTAGTAATGGAGGAAGCATGTGCAGAGAGAGAATGAATTGAAGAAGAAGGAATGGGAGAAATATCTTCTGTATTCTTCAATATAACATTACACGGTATTTATACATGTACACTTAATTATCAACTCCCTAACAGATTAGTGGTCCCTACACTACTCCTAATAAGTGAATGTAGTATCTGTACACTAACTAACTAACTGCTTTCCTCATTCTTTATTACGTTACTCCTTCTGTTTCTACACTCCCCCTCAAGCTAGGTGGTATGAATATATCAAGTAAACCTAGCTTGGACACTAAGTACTCATGTTGAGCTTTAGGCAATCCTTTAGTTAGTACATCTGCCAACTGTTCTTTGGTTCCCACATACTCTGTCTTGATTAGTCCCTGCTGAATTTTTTGTCTTATGAAATGGCAATCAATCTCTATGTGTTTGATCCTTTCATGAAAGACAGGGTTGGTAGCTATTTGTATGGCTGCTTTACTGTCAGTGAAGATAGTAGCTGGCAATTCAAACACCACTCCAATGTCCTTGAGCAATCCAAATATCCACACTAGTTCAGCCACTGTTGTTGCAATACTTTTGTACTCTAATTCTGCAGAGCTTCTAGAAATAGTGCTTTGCTTCTTTGACTTCCATGATATCAGTGAATTCTCATACTTTATGAAGAAACTAGACACAGACTTCCTAGTCAAGGGGCATGCTGCCCAATCAGCATCACAGAAGACTGAGATTACATCTCTCTTTTGACTAGACAGAAGCACACCTTGCCCAGGGTGATTCTTAACATACTTGATCACCGTGAGTGCTGACTCCATATGAGATTTCCTAGGCTTTTGCATGAACTAGCTGAGAGTTTGAACACTAAATACAATGTCTGGTCTTGTTACTATCAGATATAGGAGTTTGCCCAATAGCCTTTGATAGCTAGTAACATCTGGTAATAATGCATCATCCAAGTTGTTGATTGTGCTTGTGTGTTCATCATACTCTTGAGTAGTGAGTTTTACATTCACTTCAAGAGGTGTAGTAGCAGGTTTTGCAGCACCTAAGCCAAGTTCAGAAACAAGCTCTAATGCATACTTTCTTTGATGCATTAGAATACCCTGTGATGATTGTTGATACCCTTTTCCCTAAGTATTTTTATACCCAAATATTTCCAAAATAGCATATTGGTGCATATATAAGCACACCTAACAATTTTGGCATTTTAATGATTTTTAAAACCAATTTGTTGCCTATTTTAGTACAATAAAATCTAATAATTATTCCCAAAATTATTATTTTTGGCGAATAATTCATTTTGTTCTCACATTTGCACCAAAATATAATTAAGGTAATTTTTGCATAATTTTACAAATTTGTTTGGTATTTTAAAAGCTAAATTGCATATAATTGCAATTATAGCCTATCTTGTAATTTATAGCGTTATGTTTATAAAATTAATCCCAGTATTTTTAAATTAATATTTATATAATATTCATTTACCCAGTACTTTTAATTTGCTCTTAAAATCTGTATTACTATTTCATAAAAAAAATTTAAAGGGAAAATTGGCTATTTACGATTTGGCCTCAATTGCATTTCAATTATAGCCAATTTGGCAACCCCAATTAACCCAATTTCAAAGTTCAAAATTACCCAGCCCAATTTCAAATTAACCCAACCCCTGACCCATTTATCCTATCCGCCCGGCTCCCATTCAATCTAGGCCGTTGATCTAAATGATCAATGGTCACCCTTTATTCTTTCCTTTTTAATTTTACCCACCACACCCAACCCTAATAATTTCTTACCAAACGCCGCCCTTAAAACCCCTCGTCTCTGAAACGCTCTCTAATCTCTCTGCAAACCCTAGCCACCGCCTCTCAATCCCACCCTAATCCATGGCCTCCCATGGCCATCGGAGATGTGTAATGGCCTCCCATGGCTCCTGGGTGTTCGCTTCTGTGGTTTCACGGCCAAAATCTCGAAGGAAGCTGGTCCAGTCGTTGCCTAACTTCCATTCATGACCTTTCTCCGGTCGTCCCTGACTTTTCTCCAGCCAGCCATGGCCGTTCTAGTCAGATCCTTGGCGCTCCTGGTTAGATCGTTAATTTTCAAGGCCTTTCTCACCTCTCTGGGTTCTTCGAAACCCTAATCTTTGGGATTTTTTTTTTATTTTTCTTTCATATCTGCTTTAAATCTATACTTGCCATGAATGTTTAAGTGCTTTCGCGAAAGTTCTTCAACTTTTCTTGCAAAAACGACCTTTCATTAGGGTTTTTCCTTTGAAATTTTTCAAAAGATCTCTGATCTTTTAACGTGTTTATGTTTTGGCTATGATTTGTTCATGTTTATTCTTCTATCTGTTTCAGCATGTTAAAAACCCTAATTCCTTTTTAGTTTATCCGAGTTCTGAAAGATGCTTGTTTAAATGTGCATTTGTTCTTTTTTGCTGATTCTTTCTTCCTCGTTTAATTTGTTTAATTTTAAGTTCTTACCATCTTGCAAAACCTGGTTACTGTTAAAGCCCTAATTTTCTTTAGAAGTTTTCTCATTTGTTCCTACTCTGAGACCCTTTACTTGCTTCTATGTCTTCTTCACTCTTGTTTCTATGTGATTATTTGACCTGCTTGACTACTGTGCTTCGAATATTTTCTTACTACTAAACCCTAGCTTACCCTAATGCTACTATATGTTTGTGCTACTTCTTTTCATCAACATGTCTAACACTGCATGCTTGTTCATTCCTTGCTATTTATATAGTGAAGTGCAAAATCATGTTCCTTTCTTGTTTGATCTTGATTCCTTTGATCTTGTGACTGACTGCAAAAAAAAGAGATTTTTCTTACGAGCCCTAATTTTTACTCATCTGTTCAAAATTAATTGATTCACTTCCTTTATTGTGATGTTTTACCTTGTTGTATCATTTCCCAAAATAAGCCTATTTTGTACTTAGACTGGATTATTTACTTCATGCTTTTACTATCCCTTTTTATGGCAATAATCAATCTGCCCCCCAAACTGATTTTCTTTCCTTAATTAGGCCTGCTGACACGTTAAGCAGTGTTTCCCTAATTAAAGGGGAATCACTTGGGTTAATTGATTTTGAAGGGTGATTGTTTCCATGTTTGTGTTTTAATTTTACTTATTACCTTATTTCTCTACACGTTTTCAAAGCTATAAATACCTACACTCTTCTCTTTCAAACACACGAACACAGGCGAACAATCTGAGTTCAAAAATCACTCTTACACTTAAAAACTCTCTCTCTCTTTCTGCTACTTGTGCTGTTGCTTTATCTAGCCGGCTGGAAGCCAGGGCTAGACTGTGGATTCTTGTTTGCTCTATTTTTCTGCACTTTGCTTTTCTACTGGTATGTCCTAGTTAATTTACAAGCTTCAACAACAACATGTTTTTCATTCCTGTCCACTTCTACTCATGTTTTCTGCAATCAAGATGTGTTATTAGCATGCTGTAATATGTTCCCTTTCCCTTGCAATTTAAAGTTTATCTATGTGTGCATTCTGTCAGTCGTGTGTTGTTTATTTGCTACCTTATGAATCCCAAACCCCCATACCCCTTTATATGCTTTAAGTTATGGTTCAAAAACATGGCAATGTCTGAAATCATTGTCTGAAATCAATGCCTGTAATATGTTCAGGCCATGGCTTGATCTCCAGTAGGTCTTTACTCTCTAAATGCTTGATCAACAGGTTTGGTCAGGGGTGTGCCAGTCTATTTTGTGGCAGGGCATGACCACCAACCTGCCTGGGTAGCCCCCTACCCTTTCTATTGCACTTACACTCATTCTTATAACTTAAGTTCTGCCCCTCTTGTGTGAGCCTTGCCTTGGGACCCTTGAGCTCCCTCTGAACTTGGACATAAGGGCTGGCCCTTCCACACTGCACAACTCAATTTCTGATTAACATCTTGAGTGCATGCACTGCCTGGGGTTCCTGAAATCCCTTGGATCTCTGAAACACCCTAGATGAGAGAAGGCTTGGAAATCTGAATCTCGGAAGTGGCTCAATCTCATCTTATTAGGCCTCAAGTCTAGATTAGGCTGCTCGTATGTAGCTGAGGATTTCTGATGTATTTTTTAATTCCAGTTCATTTCTTTTGGGTTGTAATAACTTGTACAAGCTCGGGGAACTTTAGTAAAAAGGGGGGTTGGGATTTATTTTTATGCATCAAGGGTAGAGATCATGCCTATAGGAGTTTGTTATGATTTCTACAATTTCACACCTAGATATCATGCCTATAGGGTTAACTTTTAATTTCTGCACACACGCCTAGAAATCATGC